GACAGACAGTGGGCCATAAATGTGACAGGCAGTAACATGACCTAGCACATTAAGGGCAGTAGGTCCAATGGGAACTACGGAGCCGGGGCAGAGGGCTGGGTGCCGGGATGGGGAGGAGCAGGTAGTCAGGGTTTGCGTCTTTGAGAAGTAACACTTAAGCAAGGACTTAGATACGTGGAGTCCTAGGGATTCCAAGTAGAAGAAAGAGTTAGCACGAAGGTCTCAAAGAGGGAACATACCTGGGATGTTCATGGATCAGCAAGGAGCCGTCGTGGCTGGAATGGAACCAGCAAAGGCAAGAGCGAGCAGATGAGGTTCGAGAGGGTGACGGTGTCTTGAAGGTGGGGTGCTCAGATCCGGGAGGGGCTGGGTGGGCCGTGCAAGAACTGTCATTATTTTAATCTGAGTGCAAAGTGGAGACCTCAGAAAGTTTTGGGTAGAGGAGCTGACATTCTAAAAAGTACCAAGTATTTATTTTTTTCATGTTATCACTTTTGAATTCATTCCTCTTTTTCTCTCTCATTCCCCTTTTCTCTTCCCATTAGCACTTTTCCCACCTGGACTACTATTCCTTTAGCTTCTTGCTGGCTTATTTTCTAGTCTTTTCTTTCATCTGAAACTTAGCCATTAGATAAATCTGAAACAGCCCTTGGTTATAGTCCATCTGACCAGCATTCTTTTTCTTTCTTTCTTTTTGGTTTTTCACTACTACATGTTAAAATTCAGACTCAAGGTAATGCCATTCCTCCACAGCCTTGTTCCCAAAGCTCCCTGCAGGCACTCTTCTCTGAATGACGGGCTGAGCCACCCTCCTGCTTGTCAAAAGCGTTTGTGTCTTAGATCCTTCACTCCCACCTGGACCGCCTCACCTCCAATGCCTTCTCTCCCAGCTCCAGTGTAGCAATCCTCCCATCTTTGGAAAACCACCAAACGTGTCTAAAAATCCTTCATCTTCTCACTTGTACCACTCATTCCTGTAGTTTTTCATCAAAAATTCATTGAATACAAATTTTGTGCCAGCAATTGTGATGGAGCTTAAGGATTCAGAGGTGCGTTAAGATAGGTGTGTCTGTCTCAGGAGCTAGCCCTGTGGCGGGGACAGAGAATGATAAATTTAACCTTAAGGTAAATGCAAGCCTGAGATTTGTGCTAAGGGTCAGGAGAGAAAGGAACATTTTGCTCTGAGTCAGAATGATTGGCTCAGATGGGGCTAACTAACTTTTGTGGGGTGAGGGAGTGAGAAAGTCGTTGTAAGAAGGTAACATTCAAACTGAGACCTGGAGAATGAAAAATGACCAGCGAAGGAAAGGGGGGCATTGTAGAACGGAGGCTCTCTAAGCAGAATGAACAGCATTTCAAAGGCCTTGGGTATAAGGAGCTTGGGAATATTACAGGAAAAATAAAACTGAGCAAAAATCCCTTGAGGCTGGGCTTTGTGAGTACAGCAAAGTGACACTACTTGAGGTTGGTGGACAGGGCCACATGACCCAGCGCCTTGCAGGCCATAGCAGTGAGTGTAGTTTTAAGTGCAATGGGAAGCCATTGCAGTGTTTTGATCAGAGGAGTAGCATGACCTTCTTTGAGGTTGAAACTTCCATCTGTTCATCAAAATCCCTCTGCCTCTTCTCCCTGGGCATTTGCCCAGATTCCGTATCCCGGCCCTCTTTGCAGTTGGCTGTGAGCCCTGTAACTGGATCCTGCCCGTGGCAGTAGGTGGGAACGGTGAATACTACGACCAGGACTAGCTCTTAAAAACTTCCCAAGTGGGCTTCCTCACGCCACTTTCCCTCCTGACTGGGTGAACTTGGAGGCCGGCAGAGACGATAGAGCCACTGTCTCCCTGGGCCCCTGCATGGCTGTGTGGAGCAGAAACCCCTCCCGGCCAACCTAGAAGCTTCCTGAGCCTTTATGTGAGGGAGAAAGAAGCACCTGATGTTTTGAGCTTGATCCGTTTGGTTCAAACATTCTAGTTTGTCCAAATTGATAGGATAATTGGAAAGGGAAATTTTGGCTGCCATGCTATGTGAAGATGTGAGACAGTGTAAACAGACAATAGCAGTGGCTGAAGGGAAGGTTTATTGTGATGTGGACTTGAAACATTTCAATTGAAATAGATGTTAGATAATTTTGGGTGAATAATCAACATTCCCACTGATAGTTTGGTGTGTATAGTGAGATTGTGGAGGAAGAAAGACTCTTACCTGGTTTGACCATGAACTGCGGTGTCAGTTACTTTCTGGACTTCCCATAGCATACCTCATTGAATACCTTTAGGCATGTATTTTATTTATTTGATGAGATTTAATCAAATGAGGGCATATGAACTATGTCTTTGACAATCTTTTATTTTTCTACAGTGTCTAGTACAATGCTTTATATAAGGTACATTTTTCATTAAACTTTGCTTACATTAGTAAATAAAAGGGCACACGTTCGTATTTTCTATCCATGGAGTTATTAGAGGTCATGTTACCCAGCTCTTGCCTAGTCACTAATATTGCCTCACCCTGACTTAAATTTTCTTTGATTTCTAAATGAGGTGTTTTATTGCGTTAAATTTTGTTTGACCTGTGGCCTAGTGGGGGAAAATAACAGGGTGGGGCCTGGAATTTGAATGTTTGCCATAGAAGGTATGGGGAGATGTTTTTGATCCGCATGTGGGCTGATCCTCATTGCCTTCCCAATCACTTTCAACCCCCTTCCCCATTGCTCGGAGGTACTGACTGGGTTAGTGGCTCTATTTCTACCCAGAATCAGGAAGTCATCTGGGAGAATCATTATGATCTATGGAAAGGGCCAAGATAGAGCATCTCTATGATCCAAATGAACAATGATGAGGTGTGTGGTAACTCAACAATGAGGGGGTATGAGGAAAAGGAAGTGTTAGTGGAAATAGGAGGATGAGAGAAGAAGGAGGATGAGAGACTTTATGGAACATGGTGACTAAATAGATTTGACACAAAGAAAAGACTGGAATAAAGATGAGTATTGAAACTCCCCACTGAAGAAGTTCAACTTATATATCAACAGACTGGTGTTTCTAAGATCAGTTCATGCCTCCTGCTACCAACAGGTGGTGTTTGTGATGGGCCTGCACATTTCAGCCTTGGGCCTGGTGCTGTTTTATTAACTTTTTATATGTTTACTGTGTTTGTATCTAGTTTGGATGTTTTTTTATGGACATTTTTAACCTATCCATGCCCAAGAAGGGAAAAAGCCATGAGTGTTGAAATTACTGATAATAAGAGATAGAAGAATATGACTAGAATGTTGAAGAAATTAAAATGAAAATTGGAAAACAGAAAATATTGGAAATTGTACTTGTAGAGGAGATGAATCCATTGACATTGAACAACTTTGAAGAGGAAAGAATTAATCATGCCACTTGTGAAAAATACTGTGTATTTCACAGTACATGAGTGGGTAAAAAGTAATTCTCAAGATGAGAAAAAAAAAAAACAACTCTGATTATTGGAGTGTCTGTCTGGGAGATCAGCATTCCTGCTGAAGGACCACTAGCCCGGGGTTCTTTTAACTGTAGGGCGGGCATTTGTTCCAGAGGGTGAGAACAAAGAAAAATGATGGAATTACTTTGGTGATGTTTTCCTGCAAGATTTGCCTCCATAGGTCCAAGGGTAATTTGTATGTGCACAGCATGAAGGTGGGCATAGAAGGGGCACGTAGAGATGCCATAGCCTTGAAGAATTCCCTGTGAGGATTATCAAGGAGAAGAAGGGAAGAGCATTCCTTGTGGTAGAAGTCAGAATAGGAAAGGGGAAAGATTTGAATGAAACAGAAAAGCTACAGTCAGAGGCATATTTGCTGAAAGCATATATGCCTTTTGGTGAGGGGTACCTCCCTTTCATTTCTCTGTTGCTCGACACCATAATGGCAGAGACATTCAACTGACAGTTGTTAATAGAAGGGTAAGAAACCCTCCCTTGCCTATCTTCCATGAGAGCCAGTGACCTCATGTGTGAAAATAGAGAATAAGCTAAGGGCTTCAGAAAAAAAGATAAGACCTATCTCTAAATCCGACATATGTTTTCAAAATAATTACAATTTCCACACTATTATTTATTCAATTTTGTTTTCAAATGAATGTGCTAACATTTAAATAAATAATGCATATTATTGTATAATGTTTACACTATAAACATGACCTGCAACCTCTTGACTGTATGTGGACTTGATACTTAAGGAAGAACACATTTTAGACAAAAACCAGCATTTGTCTTCAGCTATGGTACCAGGTATAGCCCTGGGGTTTTCTGAGTAATCAAAAGATGAAAGAGAGTCAGAAAAAACTATAAATAGAGAGATGGGAGGAATTGAATATAAGGATAGGCTTTTTAGTGTGAAAGGTTACAGCTTGAGGCAGAAAAAATATATATATATATCATGAAGTTAGATTAAGCTAGGACAAATATGAGTTAGTTCTTCAAACTAATAAATATTGGTAATGTAGGGTTTCCAGAAAAGATAATGAGGCTATTTAAAGACAGAGATAACTGAGTATAGCATGGAACTCCCCCCTCTCATACCGCAGTGTTAGGGAGGGAGATATAAATGAGTTAAAAAAATACTTAAGATGCATGGACAACAGCTCCATCATGGGTTATTATGGGAAATTGGAGATGTTTTTTGAGTTTCTGTGTCCTGTAAGATTTCTTTTAGAGATAAAATACTGAGTGGAATATATAAATGCACTTCTTTTTCAGTCTGATGAAATGTGTACATTGTATGATTTCCTTATTCTTACCCTATGTGAATTTTGCATCCTACCTCATGAATTTTTAAAATTCCTATCATATATGAATTTCTATCTTTTATGAATTATTGATAATAGTAGCTTAACCATTTTAAATTTATAGCCAAATGTGGAAAGAAAAAGCATAAGTTTTCACAAATTATATTCTTGCCATTTAAAAAGATGTGCTTGTGAGCTGAAGGTGATAGATATATATATTTTAAATTAATACATTTTATGCTTTCTCTAGGCTGGAATGATAAAAAGTGATAATGAAGAGTATTTCATCGAGCCCTTGGAAAGAGGTAAACAGATGGAGGAAGAAAAAGGAAGGATCCATGTTGTCTACAAGAGATCAGCAGTAGAACGGGCCCCCATAGACATGTCCAGAGACTTCCACTACAGAGGTAGGTATCTTTGGCAAAGCTTAATAATTAAATATAATTTTAAGATTTTTGAAAACAACTCTCCCATCAGTTGAGAGCATGTGATTGTCTTGTACTCTTGTATTATGTTGAGATGGCAAAAGGATGCATATTTATAAATCATAAAACATGGCTTGCCTTTTTTAAAATGCACAGAGAGGTATGTATTATTGGTATTATTTTATTCCAGTGCATTATTATATCCTAGATATGTTTATTTATATTTTCTTTTACAAGTTTTCCATTAAAGCTATCTTTTCTCTAGCTTATGTTAAAATTTGAAAATATTTGTGCTTTCCAGAAGCATCTAACTTACGCATTATTAATGTTATTTTAAAACTTTTAAAATGAGGTATATTGGCATGGCAAAGAGTTGCATTTTGTTATAAGACTGGTGTGATAGATATATTTCAAAGTATTTATGCTATTTGACTTTAAAGTCTATTTTGCAAAACTTTTTACTATGTGGAGAAGATGAGTCAAGTATGGACCATGAAAGTTTTTCTTTTTTTCTTTTTCTTTTGAGACAAGATCTCGCTCTTTTGTCCCAGGTAGAGTGCAGTAGTGTCAGCCTAGCTCACAGCAACCAAACCCCTGGGCTCAAGCAGTCCTCCTGCCTCAGCCTCCTGAGTAACTGGGACTACAGGCATGTGCCACCATGTCTGGCTAATGGCTAATTTTTTCTTTTTGTAGAGATGGGGTCTTGCTCTCTCTCAGGCTGGTCTCGAACTCCTGAGCTCAAGCAATCCTCCCACCTTGGCCTCCCAGAGTGCTAGGATTACAGGCATGAGCCACTGCGCCCTGCTGACAATTTTCTATTTTTGAGTGTTTGTTTCAATGAATCTGAAAGTAACTTGGTATGAAGGAGATATTCTTATGAATTAGATACAGAAGTTCCCCTCACAGAGAAGAAAAGAATGTTGGGAATCTCTATTTTTTGCCAAATCTAAAAAAGTCTATGCTACTTTTACCAGGACAACTTTCTTAATTAAGAATAAGGAAATTTCTCTGAGGGAAATGCCAGGGATATAAATAATTTATAATAGCAATTAATTTATAAAAGCAATAATTTGTCCTTTGAGACAAAATTCTTTTGAGATTCTTACCTAGTTACTAGTTTGATTTTCAGATGCTGCCAGCTTCCCTTAATATGCTGTATTAATTGAATAGTATCATTTAAGATAAATTTAAAGTTAACACAGCTGAAACTTTTCGAGAAATTTCTGAGTTGGGACAACAGGACTATAAATAAAAGCAGCATTATGAAATGTGTGCCTAGCTTACAGTCAGTGTAGTGTAACAGAAAGGAAATGAGCTTTGCAGTTAGAGTTGGCTGAATAATAACTCTGTAACATCAAATTATTCTGTTACCTTAGATTAGCACTTAACCTTTTTGAGACTCGATTTCTTAATCTGTGAATAAAGAATTAAAATATACTGCATAATTATATTAAGTATCAGACATATGCAAATTGCTGAGTGTAACATTCAACAATAAGTGCTTAATCAGTGCTAGCTGTTATTTTATTAACTATTAATATTAAATACCTTTGCAAAAGATATTTGCATGTTAAGAGTTTTGTTAAAGTTGAACAATTAGGCGTTGTTTGCCTTCATGTTGTGAATACGTTATTCTTATTCCTCGTTTGTGTTTTCATGTTCTAAAAGTGTCATTCTAAAATCAGAAGACTGGTTATGTCAGATGGTAAGGATAGTGCTTTTTCTGTAAGTCTTGGTTTCTAATATCCTTCAAAGAAATGGTTAAATATATTTCAGAAGAGCATAGGCCCCATGTTATTGAATTGTGCAGGGGAGCTGGAAGCCCGGTTAGCTACTGTGGCTGTCCCCCCATTCGCTTCATCTGTTATGGCTATAGTTTCATCAAGTCCTACCATACACTTTGGTCCCTGAAGGCATCTATTTCTACAAATATTAGCCCTAGTATCTTTCATTAGTCTGATATTTATAGGAAAGAAAGAAGGTTATATTTTTCTTGAAATATTATAAGTAATACCAATTGTATTTTTAGGTGATAGAATAGGAGAAGTAACTTAGTAGTCAGGGTATATCCACTTAAATGAATTGGATGGGATTAAGGACATTTGGAACATTATTACTATTTTAGGAAATGATTCAAAATATCAATTCCAGTAGCGTCAACATTAACACACTCAGTTTACAATAAGAGTTGCTTTGAAGAATGCAGACACGGAAGAGTGTTTATTTGGGTTTTCAGTCATGACGAGAAGATTGCCTTATGGTAGAAGTGGGCCACAAATTAGGGTAATACATTTTGGGAAAGTTTTCAGTGATCATAGGTCAAAGCACAAGGAGTTCCTTTAACTCTCAATTACCTTAAAACTTGAATCAAAATAAAACTATTCAGTTCTCTTAGAATGTTCCATGGTAAACTTTAATATGAGCATAATGATTTTTATTTTCTTATTTATGAAGCTCTGATTAAATTGAGTTGTGGGCGACATCAGTTTACCTCCTTTTGAAAATCTTAAATTGTAACCGTGTATGTTAGAAGTGTAACTCTCTTCCCTAGGGTCAAAAGTAATTTAGATTCAGAATTTTTAAGTAGCACACTGTGGCCTTTAAATTCTTCTTTTAACTTCTTGGTCACAGCACTCACACCCAAACTTTCTCATAGACTAAATAAACTTTCCAAGTGTAAATTAAGAATGTATTTTTATAATGTATTTCATCATTCTAAAATGTAAAATTGAACAAATTCTAGGGTTAGAAAGATATATTGATTTATAAATGAAAGCTAAAGCACCATATAACATAGTACTTTTTCTGGATCACTTCAAGATGTTATTTTAGGAGACATATGAGGTCTTTCTTAATGAGTTATAGGCAGAGGAATAAAATGCATAGGCTAATACTTAGAAAGAAATGCTTCTGAGAACCGTGGTCTTCATAAATTTCTCTGACAGCAAGTCATCAGGAGGTGTTTTGATCCTAAGCAAACCATTTCTGACCCAGCAGGGTTTCACCAGTATGGCCCCGGTACATACTCCGCCGTGTTTTGCTATTTGTCACAGTGATTGCCTGCACAGTTCTTGCTTTGGCAGTTTAGCCCTTTGTATTCGCTTACTTTTTTCCTCAATTCCTTTATTCTACTCGGGATTTAATTTTTTAAATGCCCCAGATTTTACAAAGTGCGGCAGTAGAATACAAAACTGGAGTTTCTTTTCACACAAATTTATTTATTTGGATTTTTTTATATTTCAAAATATTGATACATTCAGAGAGTAATTTTAATCTCTATAATTTTTGCTAACTGTGTCGAGTCACACTCGACATCCGAGTGCAAAGGGTTAGGTCCTCAGAATTGCTGTTCGTTTTAGGTTCTGTAGTTTGAGTCAAATGCTCTACATTAAAAATCGATTAGGACCTGGGCTAGGTGAGTAGTAGTGAGATGGAGAAATGGAGCTAAATTAGATAGAAATTGAAGTAAAACTGACAAGTGTTTTGTGATGGAGAATATGCCAGGGGTGGAGAGAAAGAGACAGATAGATCAAGGCTGACTCAGAATTCTAATCTAGAAGACTAGAGAATTATCTTTCCAGAATTCAGGCATATAAAGTGAGACACAGAAATAGGCTTGGTGAAGGATGACAAGTGAGTACAATTCTGGATAGATCAAGTTAGAAAATCTATTGGAATGCTGAGTGAATGAAAAATACAGGGTGTGTTCTCATAATCGTGCCCAAGTCAGTGCGTGAGTGGCCTCATAGGCACGCTGCGGTAGGGCTGTAGAGTCAGCGTGGGAATCACGTGGGAGGTATTGGCTTGTGGATGGCTGGAATGTCTCTGCCTTCTGCTCTCTCATTCCCAACCGTGTCACGAGAATCAGAGGGTATACATACATTGCACGGAGTTGAGAATCAGAGGGTATACATACATACATTGCACGGAGGTGGGAGCCCATGAAAAATACTCGCTATGGGTGAGGCAGACACTATGTCCTCAAAAACCAAAACTAAAACCAGAAACAAAAATTATGCTTCTCCCACGTTTGAGAACCCTAAGCTGTTCCACTTGACCAAATGCAAAGCTCTATTTCCATTTCCTATCTCCTAAGAATATTCGAGTTTCCAATAAAAGTCACAGCTTTGAAACTGTTGATGATGCATCATATGGTACCATTTCAACAACAACAAAAACCTCTCAATCAGTCCCACGTATAGCAGATTCTCTTTCCTTGAGTCTTCACGGGGAAGTTGTATTGTTTTTTGCAATATGGAAGAAATATGAAGAGCTGTTAAAACTATGTTGAACTAACTAGTAAAATCACAGATGCAGTGCTCTCTTTAGAATTACTCTTTTAAGAATAAGACCTAAAGCAGTTTTACATTTGGCAGTATAAATAACGGTCTCTTCTAGTGCAGAACTGGCAGGTGCTCATAACACGTAGTGCTGCCAGTTTCTGGCAAAGGAATATCATCCTTTTCATTAAACAACAAACATAAACTTGGCATGCTTATGATTAAGAAACTAGTCTACTTCATCACGGTGGGTTAGTTTGATTTGCTGCTTCTTCTGGTTTCTGCTTTAAGGGCATTAAAAATACATCCATTTTTGGCATCTTTAGTTTGGATAAGATTATTTTATATTTGAAATTTTAACAACATGGTTAATAAAATATTAAAGGATCACGCCCACTATTAAATCATTCATTTATCTACGTTCAGATGAAAAACAAAATATACCCCTATCTATTAAGAATGTTTACATTATTATGATTGAAGAGCTTACTTTAGGCAGCCTACTTTTTAAGGGAGGGTAGCAGTACTTGTATGATGTCATTCAGCTTTTTATATTTTTAATTTAATCCCTAAGCCCTGGGCTTCTCCCCTCAAATCGCAAACTATTCATTCACCAGAAGCTTTGTGTTAAAGTAATTTTTGTAATTACTTCCTACCAGTGGGAAACAAGGACTGGTCAGCCTTTATCTCCTGGCTTCCTTT